TACTTTTCATATTAATCTTATATAGGATATATATATCTAGAGAGAGAGAGAGAGAGAATTGACCTATTATGTTTTAGACTGTGTATATGTGTGTTCAATTTAATTCTTATTATAATAGTTACTTAATTAATTTAAATAAATAAATAAATTATAATAAATGTAATATATTTTTTTAAAACAACCATGTATAACAACAGGATCAAATATTATTTTGTTAGTAAATTAGTTTGAACAAATGATAAATTTAAAATATAAAGGGGATTAAAGATGTTTCATATTTTAAACTAGATCTATTAATCAACTAATTTTTATACTAGAGATGGGATGAAGTGATAGTTTTATACCAAAGTGAAATTATGTTTTCTAATAATTTTTCATATTTGATTTTTTTTGGCCCAAGGGGACACGTTTTACAAATTGTGTTAATTTGATAATTTGATAATTTCTGTTTGTATTTTAGATAAATTGGGTTGAATTAATTTTAAATTGATTTATGTATGTTTAAAATTTGTTAAAAAAACACGACTCTTAACAGGCCACAGACTAGGCCAAGCCTGATTACAAATCAGGCTTAGCCGAACAAAAGGTCTTTCACAGGCCGCAAGCCAGGCTCAGGCCAACATACCTTACCACAGGCCGGGCCTGTTAAGGGCCCTATATTAAGGACCGGAGGAGTACTTTAGAATTTTTTTAATTCTTTTTTCCTTCTCTAAATCATAACTTTAGACGTCAATATTTTATTACAAGTGGAGAAAAGCATTTGCCTTTAACTTTGTTGTTGTTCTAATTACTATAACTAATTTTTTTCTTGTGATTAAATTATGCTGTTTTACAAGTAATCACTCAACTATCTGTTTTCACGGTCAAAGAAAAGGGGAACTATTGTAACTTTACCAATAACATTCCCTTTAGTTCACTTTTAAAAAAAAAAGTCCCTTTAGAAAGGTTATTATAATTGTGGTTTGTATTCGATTGAAATTATAAAAATAAAATCACCAACAGATGAAATTCATAAATATCAGTAACTTGAGACAGAAAATAGAGTACACTCACACACACAAACCCATTTTGTGTGAAGCCATTTCTTAAAGCATGCTTGAGAAACAGTTTATTCTTTTCTCGTTAATTGATAGCCTCACGTCAAACCTTTACTATAAGTAGAGAAAACAATTTGTCTTTAACTTTGTTGAATGATGGAAGCATCTAAAAGACATGTCAAGAAGGATAAGTGAGCCATGAAGGCTCTGTTTTGGCATCACTTCTAATTAATTCAATAGCCTCTCTTACTGCTTTGCTTTGATGGTGAAGGAAGCAGGGCCGAATTGCAATTCTTAATATTTATTGAAAACTCATTCATGAGATGACTAAGCCCAGCATCATATTACTGTTCTAATCATGAGTACTGCATCTCAAAAATTCTCTAAAATTATAATTTCATTCTAAAAAGAGTTATCTTTACAAAATTCTCACTTTCAAATGGTGAGAGACTGGCGTAAATTTAATGAATTTTTGAATGTTCTCTCTTTTATACAATATCACTTGGTTTTCAAATATGTCGTTGACTTAATCCAGATTGAATTGAATTAGACTTCAAGGAGGTGGAACTTTTTTAGCGGCAACTTTAAAGGTTGCAATTATATATTTCAAGCGATGGCAAAAAGAACAACTTATATGTGATTATACATCAGACATAATAATCATCAATATTATGTGAAAAGTAAAACCATTGCGAGAAAATTGGAAATAAATCCTTCATTAGAATTTTTAATTGGCAAACGATTTCTAAGATAACGGATTATATAACTAAAGATAAGTTGTATACAATAGAAGTTAAATTGTATAAAGAGAAGATAATTTGTACAAAACATTATTTAAACATAACTGACTCATTTGCACATAGAAAAGATGACTTGTATACAAAGAAAATTCAATTGCACAAAGTGACGTTGAGTTTCACATCGTATGAGGAAAGATGAATTGCACATAAAATAAGTTACGTCACAGACAATGGAAGTTGAGTTGTATAAGGTTCTTAGGTACCATTTATCAGTTAAATTCTTAACAACGGACTTATCCTCAATTTTCCCAACTTATATTTGTAAAAAAAATTTGAAAAATTAAATCGGGGCACCTTATATTTAAACTACAATTGTTGGGCTTTTTAGTATGGGCCCAAGAAGTTTTTTGGAAGAGTCAAGCCAGCCGACAGGCGTAAGGTGAAGAGGAAAGCTTGTCCGGTCAAACTTTCTGGTTTTCCGGCGACTCATGTTGCAGTCTAGTTACGTGTCCGCTACGCGTGTTTCCTCGTAATTGTAACACAGTCACAAATATTTAATTTAAACACCCCCCGTTTTTGTCTCTCTCTATGTACATATATTATTTCATATTCACAAATGTCCATATCATTGTGGGAGGTGATTGGGTTTACAATTGCGATTGTGTTAGAATTTACAGCCTCGATGCGGATGCAAAATTACATTTTTACCATCTAAAATTTTGTTGGATGGTTTAAATTCAAAATTTTTAGTACAAAATGATTTCAATTACAATTTTTTAGAAATGAAAATTATAAATTATTATTTAAAAAACCATATATTTATTAAATACAAATTAGTTTAACATATAAAATGAATTTAAACCAGACGTTGATCATACAGAATTAATTTAAATGGTCCACGTCTTGATAAGCATACATTGCTTTCCCCAGCCCCCAAGGCTAGCCTGGTGTTTTGAATATTAAAAAAGGGGGAAAAGTGGCAGAAGAGAAAGATGCCATTTTCATGTGACCAGGCCAAAAGGACATCGGCAATTTTTAGAATCAATGGATTTTTAATGTTTATTTTCTCAAAAAATACTATTCTTTTACTACATCCGGTCCTTAATATAAGATCCTGTTTGACTTTTATTTTGGTTTTAAATATAAGACTCCAATCCATTTTGTTTTTCATATGTATATTTTTTTTTAAAGTAGTCTTTCTAACAATGATAATTCTCGTCAATACACTTGATTAGTAAGGATATTTTAAAAAAAATAACACCTATTTAGAATAAATAACTAACTCAACTTACTTTCTTAATTTCTTTAAGTTAATCAATTGATTCTTATAATTAGGATCGGAGGTGGTAATATAAAAATTAATATTATTAAAAGATGAAATGATTACATAAAAAAATTCAAATTGGACTAAGAAACTAGAAGACAAAGACTAGACCCAGTTGGGGCGTGATGCACAGAACACGATGCACAGAATCATAGTTTAAAAAAAAAAAATCGAACTAGTAGGCTCAACCTAAAAATCAATAAATCGGCCAGTGATTTGATCTGGCTTAAATATTGGATCGGCCGGAAGTTGAACCGATGACAAACTGAGGCGAACCAAAAGAAATCGGTATGAATCAATGGTGGATTGGTTTGAATAACTATATTGTTATTGATCTTATGTTTACTTATTCAACTCTTAATATTTTAGTCAATATACACTTGAATTAATTTTAATAATAATTTTGATATCAATAATTATTAATTTTAATTATTAAGAAATTATAAAGATTAAAATTCTCAATATTGTACTTTGCTATTAATACAAATAAACCGTTGTTATATTTTTTTTTATATTTTGTTATTAGTCATTATTAATATTATTATATTTTGTTATTTTTAATTAAATGATATCATTTTAATATGATTAGTTTGATTTTGAGTTGATTCGATCTGACTCACTGATTTGTGAATTACTATTATTTTAGCTAGTTTAGTGTCCAGTTTTTTTTTTTTTTCGTTGCACGGAACACACTAAACACAAAATATCAACATATTGAAAAAAGTGTGTGCAATAGCATATTTCTTGTTTTTTTATTTTTTGTTTTTTTGGAGTAAAAGGAAAAATGATATTAAGGGAATAACAACAACTACAAAGTTTCCTTTGAAGTGCCGACATCAATTTAATAACCACTTTAATAAGAATGAAGTTAAAAAAAATTTAATTTAATGTATTTTTTATATATCCAAGAGAATCCAAGGCTGAGTTGGCAGGCAAGTGGTTTGAAATTCTGCCATACGTACGCAAGTTTATTACTGGTAGTGCTGTCCAACCCTTTCAGCCCCACAAGCACATGCATGCACCTGTTTCCATCAGCTGCACCCAATTATCACGAAACAATTGATGGAGGCTAGTAGAGTAATAAATTGAATGCCAGGCCAAATAAAAAGTGCCAAATTGAATGTATTGTCTGCTTCACGCTGACGCCAAAGACTAGGATCCATTTCACCCCATGCCGCATTTCACTCCACCCTGGCATTTTTTTCCAATGTTGCTTGCCTACTTAGCTTTCCGATGCTCATTATAATTGTCAATTGTAATAAATATTCACATATAAAAAATACATTAAATTAATTTTTTTAAATTTTATTCTTATTAAAGTGGTTATTAAATTGATGCCGCCACTTCGGAGGCCTGGTAATGCTATGCATATACACATATGTACTGTTGAAACTTTGCGATTGTTGTTATTACCTTAATATCATTTACTCAAAAGAAAAAAAAAAGCTATTGCACAAATCATTCGAGTTGATTTTTTCTTATTATTAAATTATCTTAAATAATCAAGTAAAGGTCGTTTAGGATGAACACTGTGATTGTTAGAATTTGTTTTACTGATCCTTCTACAGTAATGACTACTGACATTCTTCCTCCGCCGTTTCAAAATATAAGATATTAGTAACCAATTTACACAAATCAAGAAATATTAATAATTAAGTCATTAAATATATTTTAAATTGATAAAATTTACTCATCTTATTTTTACTAAAGAATGTGATAGTAATTGAAAAATTCTCTCATCCCTCTCATGCATTTAAAATTCTGTCTTCTTCTTACAAGAACAGATAAAAGTTAAAGACTATAATTAATTATCTTTATCAGCTTCTCATGTTTTGGATCAAAAGTTTTCAATTTGATGAAGTGTGTGGATTAAACAAGTGGAAGGAAATGGACTATAAAAATGTGGAGAGGTTATCTAAGGTTTTTTTTTTTTTTTTTGAGATTAAAAAACAAGCCTCGGTTTGGGGGGTAAAGAAACAAACGAGGAAAAAAGTTCCTACCTAAAAGCAAAAAGCCAGCAACCAGTCAAGATATCTAACTTGTTATCTAACCACTACCTAAAAGCAAAAAGCCAGCAACCAGTCAAGATATCTAACTTGTTATCTAACCACTTCTCTCTGTACGCGGCCTTCTTCCTCACTGTCTGTATTCATCCTCTATCTAACACATCCTCTATCTGAGACTATTGCGTCTCTTATTCTAATTTTTGAGGTGTAATTGCTGAAACTCTCCATATTATGATGTAAGCAGTGTAGTTTCTTGTTATTTCTCTGATTATTACAAATCGTATTGAGCTAGAGGTGTGTTTATTACGATTGCTCTCCTCATCATTCACACCCCATTTGAGTTTCACATCGGTCATCAATGGAAGCCCTTGCTGAGAATGTCATTCGGCTACTGGGCTCTTTAGCTGCTAAAGAGCTTGACCTTCTTTGCAACTTCCAAGATGATTTGGAGACCATGAAGAGGAAAGTCACTGGAATTAAAGCCGTGCTTCGTGACGCTGAGAGAAAGGCCACGAAAAGTGAAGCGATCAATGATTGGCTACAAAAGCTGAGAGGTATGTTGCTTGATGCCGAAGACTTGTTGGATGCCTACTCTGCTGAGGAGCGAGCAAGGGAAGTGATGACCAAAGATAGAATGGCGAAGGAGGTATGCATATTCTTCTCCAAATCAAACCGACTTGTTTGTGCTCATAAGATGGGTTGTAAGATTGGGGCAATTAGGAAGAAACTAGACGAGATTTATGATGAGAAGAATCCACTTCAATTGCATGAGAGCTCTTCGAGCACTTTGAATGAGTCTTGTGAATGGAGACGAACCGGCCCAGATGTGAGCGAACAAGATGTTGTCGGGAGAGACGAGGAAAGAATGCATCTTGTTAGTACCCTGTTAAGCTCTGATGTTAAAAATGATGTCTCAGTGATTCCCATAGTTGGGATCGGAGGATTGGGGAAGACGACACTTGCTCAACAAGTGTATAATGATGTGGCTGATAAAAATCATTTTGAGCCTATGATGTGGGTTTGCGTGTCTGATGAATCCCATCAACTTTCCAATAACACGTTCGCTCAAAAGATCATTAAGAAGGAAACATCTGATGGTGCCCTCGAACTATTAAGACATAAAATTAAGGAGAAACGTTTTCTACTCGTGTTAGATGATGTTTGGAATATTAAGAATCGTGGGGAATGGCTTAAATTAGAAAACTTGTTCAAAGATGGAAGAAAAGGAAGTATGATCATTGTCACTACACGGAGTACGGAAGTGGCGGACACAATGGGCACAAATCCACCTCTTTCCTTAAAGGATTTGGATGAAGATAAGTCCTGGGAGCTATTTTGTAGAGTGGCTTTTCGAGACGGAAAAGAACCTGCTGATCACAAGTTGGTAAGGATTGGAAAGGATATCGTGAGAAAATGTCATGGAGTTCCGCTTGCAATAAGAACCATTGCCAGCTTATTGTTTAACAAAGCTACCTTAAAAGTGAGTGAGTGGTCATCTTTTAGGGACAGTGAACTTGCAAATATAGATTATGAGAATAATAATATTTTTTCTATCCTTAAACTTAGTTATGATCATCTTCCCTTCTATTTGAAAAATTGTTTTGCATTTTGCTCTTTGTTCCCAAAAGATTACGAGATTGAGAGAGAAACACTAATTCAACTATGGATAGCTGAGGGGTTCATTCAACCCTTGGATAAAAATAGGCGCTTGGAAGATGTTGGTGATGAGTATTTCAAGCAGTTGTTGTCGAGGTGCTTGTTTCAAGATGCGAAGGAAAATAATTCTGGTGACATATGGTCGTGCAAGATGCATGATCTCATACATGATCTAGCACAATCAGTCTCTAAAAATGAGTGTTACATTGTCACAAGTGAAAAAATAGAAGAAGAGAAATTTGGTGATGGGATTCGTCATATGTCAAGTCATTTTCATGGTGCCTGCAAGTTTTCACTTGGTAATGCTAACACCAAAAGAATGAGAACAATTTTGTTCCTACAAGGACATTTGGATTTTATCTTGAGTCAGTCTTCGGTAAGAGTTTTCAATCTAATTTGCGGGCCTACAACATCACTTCCAAAGCACTTACGTGTATTGGTTCTTGTAGATCAAGAGTTGAAAATTTCAGAGAGTATCGGAGACTTGAAGCATTTAAGATATCTTGATTTAAGTAGGAATCGTAAACTCAAGAAGCTCCCACAAGGAATCACCAAGTTGTATAACTTGTTGATCCTAAAACTTAATAGTTGTTCATCTTTGGCATCACTTCCAAAGTCCATTAAAAATCTCACATCATTACAATCTCTTGACCTCTCAGGCTGTATTTCTTTGGCATCACTTCCAGAGTCTATCAGATATCTCACATCATTGCAATCTCTTAATGTCTCTCGCTGCATTTCTTTGGCATCACTTCCAGAGTCCATCAGAAATTTCACATCATTGCAGTCTTTTGACCTCTTTGGCTGCACTTCTTTGGCATCACTTCCATCCAGCTGCACTTCTTTAGCATCACTTCCAGAGTCCATCAGAAATCTCACATCATTGCAGTCTCTTGACCTCTCTGACTGTACTTCTTTAGCATCACTTTCAGAGTCCATCGGAAATCTCACATCATTGCAGTCTCTTTACCTCTTTCGCTGCACTTCTTTGGCATCACTTCCGGAGTCCATCGGAAATCTCACATCTTTACAGTCTCTTTACCTCTCTGTTTGCACTTCTTTGGCATCACTTTCGGAGTCCATCGGAAATCTCACATCATTGCAGTCTCTTGACCTCTCTGGCTGCACTTCTTTGGCATCACTTCCGGAGTCCATCGGAAATCTCACATCATTGCAGTCTCTTGACCTCTCTGGCTGCACTTCTTTGGCATCACCTCCGGAGTCCATCAGAAATCTCACATCATTGCAATCTCTTGACCTCTCTGGCTGCACTTCTTTGGCATCACTCCGGAGTCCATCGGAAATCTTACATCGTTGCAGTCTCTTGACCTCTCTGGCTCCACTTCTTTGGCATCACTTCCGAAGTCCATCGGAAATCTCACATCATTGCAGTCTCTTAACCTCTATAGCTGTACCTCTTTGGCATCACTTTCAGAGTCCATCGGAAATCTCACATCATTGCAGTCTCTTGACCTCTCTAACTGCACTTCTTTGGCATCACTTCTGGAGTCTATCGGAAATCTGACATCATTGCAGTCTCTTTACCTCTCCGACTGCACTTCTTTGGCATCACTTTCAGAGTCCATCGGAAATCTCACATCATTGCAGTCTCTTGACCTGTCTGGCTGCACTTCTTTGGCATCACTTCCGGAGTTCATCGGAAATCTCACATCATTGCAGTCTCTTGACCTCTCTGGCTGCACTTCTTTGGCGTCCCTTTCGGAGTCCATCACAAATGTCACATCATTACAGTCTCTCTACCTCTATCGTTGCACTTCTTTGGCATCACTTCCGGAGTCCATCGGAAATCTCACATCATTGCAGTCTCTTGGCCTCTCTGGCTGTACTTCTTTGGCATCACTTTCGGAGTCCATCGGAAATCTCACATCATTGCAGTCTCTTGACCTCTCTGGCTACACTTCTTTGGCATCAGTTCCAGAGTCCATCGGAAATCTCACATCATTACAGTCTCTTTACCTCTCTCGCTGCACTTCTTTGGCATCACTTCCGGAGTCCATCGAAAATCTCACATCATTGCAGTCTCTTGACCTCTCTGGCTGCACTTCTTTGGCATCACTTCCGGAGTCCATTGGAAATCTCATATCATTGCAGTCTCTTGACCTCTCTCGCTGCACTTCTTTGGCATCACTTCCGGAATCTATCGGAAATCTCACATCATTGCAATCTCTTTACCTTTCTGGTTGTACTTCTTTGGCATCACTTCCGGAGTCCATCAGAAATCTCACATCATTGCAGTCTCTTTACCTCTCTGGCTGCACTTCTTTGGCATCACTTCCAGAGTCCATCGGAAATCTCACATCATTGCAATCTCTTTACCTCTCTCGCTGCACTTCTTTGGCATCACTTCCGGAGTCCATCAGAAATCTCACATCATTGCAGTCTATTGACCTCTCTGGCTGCACTTCTTTGGCATCACTTCCAGAGTCCATCAGAAATCTCACATCATTGCAGTCTCTTGACCTCTCTGGCTGCACTTCTTTGGTATCACTTCCAGAGTTCATCAGAAATCTCACATCATTGCAGTCTCTTGACCTCTCTGGCTGCACTTCTTTGGCGTCACTTCCGGAGTCCATCGGAAATCTCACATCATTGCAGTCTCTTTACCTCTCTCGTTGCACTTCTTTGGCATCACTTCCGGAGTCCATTAGAAATCTCACATTATTGCAACAATTTCGTGTCACTGGATGCTGTGCTTTAGAGCAAAGATACGGAACAAAGTTAGAGGGTGTGGATTGGCCAGGGCTTGCTCACATACCAAATGTTTATTGGCCTGGTGAATAAACAATCGGCTTTCCGATCATTCGTTTCAACGAAATCAAGGTATGACCTTTAACTCCATTCTTCTCTTCATGGATACTTTCACGCGGCTTGTGTTCCCCACTATTCTTTTTTTAACTTTCTCTTGCACTCCTCATCATGTTTTTGTGCGTGCCGCTGCTATGTTACATGTTCAAGAAAAGACGTTGCTGCTACTGTTGGTCAAGTCCAAATTCTATTTCTTGTGCATTTACGGAATCTTCGAAGTTGTGGGCTGAACTCTTTTAAAAGGACTTTTAATTACTATTGACTCCGTTGATGAATGAATAAATTGTGCTGAAGTAGAATTTTTATATTTCCCGGATTTGATGTTGTGTAAATGTAATTGCTTAAATGATATCACATGTTATGGGTTAGCATTATTCCACTTAAATGCTTGTATTATATGCTCTTCGCACAGTTTTGAGTTAAAAGCTTCGTATGGAATGTCACATTCAAGGCAATATTTCGAATTAAGAGCTACTTGGGCCAAAATATTTTTTATTTAAAAACAACAAGAAATGGTTTCACAGTAAATAATAAAATGGCTTTCTTAAATATTTGTTGTGTCCGTCAATTTTTTTTCTTAATAGATGGGGAATTTCGTGGACGGTGTTGAATATTAATTTTTTTTATTTATGTTTTCCTTCACCAAAAGAGTAAAATTTTACTGACTGCTCTGACTAAAATGCTTGGTGTCAATATGAGCCCAAGAAAAAGATGCTAATGAGGATTTTGCCGACAAGCATGGGAGATAAGATCAGTTATAAACAATGCAGATAGTAATATAAAAAAAAATTAAAAGATGAGGAAGTCTTAGGCCAGTTAAAAGTTCAGGAATTAAGTCGCGACTAAATTATAAGAAAGTTTAAAGTTTTTATTTTAACTAAAAACTCAGTTTAAACTTGAAGAACTAAAAGCTTGATTTTCTCAAAAATTTATATTTTAGACCACATGTTTTACAAAACCATTTTAAACATTAAATAATATTTAAAAATATTTAGACTTTCTTTTCCATGACCTGTTTAAATGGAAATGTTGTTGTTTGCTTACTCCCAAAATTACTTAAAAAGAGTATTTTTATGTAAATTAAGACAATATATTTTTTTTTTTACATACTTATCTCATGCTTGGTAAAATTGTTTTTAAAAAGGTAATCCAAATTTTTTTAAACCCTAATGAGAGGGACTTGATGATTTCTTCCTTATTTATTTATTGCTACGACAGCGAGCTCAATGGTCTACAATCACGGATAGGAACATTTCTTTATTTTTGTTTTAACGCATGTTTTATAGGAAAAATGACTAAAAAAGAATCTTAAAAATAGGATATTAAAATTAAAAAAAAAGTTATCACTTCCAAATAGCAGGAAAAGAGGAAAAACTTCAACTGAAATTATGATTGGGAAAATAACTAATTTGCCTTTGTGCAATACTCAGAAAATGAAGTTATTCCGTATTCCAAACTTATTAATTTATGTTATTTTCAGATCAAATATGGTCATTTTTTTAAACTGACACAATGATAAATTGGTCGTTTCTCATATTTTTATAATTCCTGTTCCAGTTTTCCCTCATTTCCTGTCATTTTAGCTGCCTTTCTTAGAATTTTCTGTTTTCAATGTTGTTTTGGTCATTTTTTTCTATTTTATGCGCCATTGACTTACCAATGTTTAATTAAAATAAAATTTTCTTATAATCACACACACACACATTATATCACATATCCACAGCTGGTCTAAGGTTTTTTTATTTGGCATATGTTCTTATAATATGCCATTAACTTACGAAAGCTTTGAGACCAAATGCATTAGCAACTGATCTAAAATAACGGACTTTTATGCCTGTTGTGTATGCCAACGGTCTAAAAAATTATTATCTCCTGTCTTAATTATAAGACCTCGTTTATAGTCTACAAATGGAGTCTTATAATTAGGATCGGAGGTATTACTATATTTTAAACCACATGTTTTAGCAAGCGATTTAAAAAATTAAATAATATTTAAGAAATGCAACTGGTCAATGGTGGTTTAAATCATTTCTTTAAATTTATACTAGTGAGATAAACTTGATGATTTCTTCTTTATTAATTTATTAGTAAGACAACAGCGAGCTCAAAGGCCTAGAATTACAGGGAGGAAGATTTCTTTATTTTTGTTTTAACTCAGATATTAGTTTTATATGCCGTTGACTTATTAAGGTTTAATTAAAGGAGCTTTTCTTTTGACCCAAAAAAAAAAGTGTTGTCACCTAATAAAATTGATATTCTCTTTTAAGTGAGAGGTCACAAGTTTGATCCTACTTATAAGTACAATACAAATTCAAAAATTCTCATGTACATTTATTTTAATGATTTTTTTAAAAAGTGACAATTATAAAATTATCTTTATTTTAAATTGCATGTCTATTAAAATAAAAACTAACTTCAAATATAAAATAAATTTAAATTAAATCTTCATCATACAAAATTAATGTAACCAAGCATACAATGCGCGTTTCCAAGTCCTAAAGCCAGCCTGGTATTTTGGATATAAAAAGGAGAAAAATGTGGTATTTAGAAGCCAAAGATGGGCTACATGCTTTGGATTTACTTCCAGACTCAATAAAACGTCTCACATCATTGCAACGTCTTGTTGGATGCCAATTCTTTGTATATTAATGTTGATAAAGTCCAAATTTTATTTCCACTATATCTAAGTCAACTGGATTTTTCTGATGCATCACAGGATCTTCCAAGGAGTGGTTTTAATTCTTTTAAAAAGACTTTTACCCGCAATTAATTCTGTTTAATTTTTCCTTATGTTTCCAAATGAATGATTAAATTGTTGAAATTTTGAAGTGGACTTTTTATGTCTTATGGACATGGGTTTGCCTTAATTATGTTTGAGAGATTCCTTTGAGAGGTCTTGTGCACCAAACCATATTCCCTCTTTAGTAGTGAGTTTTCAAGTAATTTGTTAGAAATTTTAATGAGAAACACAACATTTTAAAACCATAATGGCAAACTAATGAGGTTGCCTCGGCAATGATCTGTGGGCATACAAGAATTTAACAGCAGATATTTATAAATGTTGTACCCAAGTTTTCTCTTTTACTAAAAGCCTTGGCATGTTGAGTTGTTCTGTTTAATTACTCTTGTTCTTAATTCAAACAGGAAAAAAAAAAAACCCTTCAGCCCATCATTTTTTTTTAATCTCATGAG